CCACCCACCCCCACACCCACACCCACACCCCACACCCACCCACACCCACACCCTTAAGTACCGTTGAAGAAGTCGCTCATTGTCAGTTAAACCGCAATACCAATATATAGACTTTTACTGTCAATCACCAAATAATGTTTCGACTTAAAAAGCTATTCCTATTGATGTTTATGAGTATTTAATATTAAATAGGTACCATAGAAATATTTCAATGACAATAGAAGGTTTTAGAGGGCGTCCATGAGATCATCGAGGAATTTTTAAAGGGTCCATACTCCCGAAAATTTTGGCCACCTCATTTTATTTGTGGAATCGATAGCCCATGAGGTGAAACTACTCTACCCAAAATATTTGCTCGATTGATTATATAACAAAAAAGTTATGCAGACCACACTGATGACTACACACTGATTAAGTCAAAATTGATACGACGTAGTTATCAAGCAAAAATCAGTATTTTTGAGAAATTATCTCTCAAGATTAGTTGATCCCAGAAATTTGGATCGTACATCGGATGGGGAAATAAAAAAGCTACAAAACCAGCCTAAAACAAAAAGTTTTTAATCCGTAAAAAGAAAATTTTTTTTTGGGAGTATGGGGTTTCTCGATCCTGTGGTGGACTCTCTCTTAAATAGCTATGTAGCGCAAAAATACTCACGCAACTGTTGGAATAGCTATGTAAAATTTAAATACTTATGCCACCACTTCAATAACTACTTAAACACAAAAGCTATAGAAAACTTAAATACCTATGCAAATGCTTAAATAGCTATGGAAATACTTAATTAGCCATTGAAAACTAAAATGGCTATGCAGGTGCTTAAATAGCTATAGATACTTTAAATAGCAGCAACGTTTCAAAGTCATTGGTACTAAACAAAAACTGTATCTCTTTTGAGAGTGAGCCACCCAGGACAACCATGCTCGACTTTATACGGCCGTAAACCAACCAATTACAGCGGATAACGGTGACCGTTCCTAATGGTCGCTTATAACAACTGTGAACGATGCTATACGGTATGTTATGGTCAACATCAACGACTCCAATAAAAGTCAACCGTAAACGACTAGAGTAACGATACAGTGACCATACACGCTTCTTGTAAAACATCGTAAGATGAAGTATACTTTAGCTCTTTACGGTACCGTACGCCGCACTACGATGATCGGAAACCATGACTATGAACAATGACCGTTCACGAGCACCGTAGCAATACGAAGGCCGTAAACAGGCATACAACAAACCACTCTAATGTACCGTACACGCTAAATGTTACCTGATATCGTATCCATCCATCGTCAACAGCCATTTACCTGATAATACAACTATCCAAAACGACTCACCCAAACAAGTAACCTTTCCGGCCATCGATGAACTAAAAATGATTTAACAGATTATGGATACATTCCAACTCATAAATCAGATATCCAGACATCACTTCAGAACTATACGAAAACTCGAGTATTCCAATGTACAGGTTCTTTCGAAGAGAATTCTCAATACCCTAGGATCAACTCAAGCATGATGCAAACAGGTCCTCAAAATAAGAGAGAAAAGCACTCATGGTATCTCATTAGTCCACTTCGATTGACCAATGGAATTGCCAGATTCTATTTCTTTGTGAAGGGCAAGGGATAGACCTACCCATATACACATCATTAGATAGAGAGTCCCCGATAACCCTAAGAATGGCTCGAACATGACTGGCACTTGTGTTTACCATAAGAGAGAAAAGTGTTCCTGAATTCTGATTAGTACCAACGTGTATATGACAGGGTGGCGTATACGATCGTATACAGAACGGCAATTTTCGGTCATAATCTGGTCCATATCAAAACAGCGAAGATACGGCTATGTATGGCTGTATTTACACCGTATACGGTCATTTTTGGTCGTCGTACAGTGCGATATGGGATGGTTTTCTGAAACAGCCGTATATAGCTGTGAGCGCTGACGTATGCGGCCGTGCATGTCGGAAATTATTCCGTGTTACACCCACGCCAAAAAATCTGACGTCAGATCCTAAGAGATCTTATAAGATCTTATGCATACAAGATTTTTTATACGATCTTGTCACAAGATCCGAAAATATCGCATAGGTTTATTTTTTGTAAGATTTTATCTGATTCTGAATGTAAGATACCAGCAAAAATCTTACAAGAATCACACGATACGAAATGTATAAGGATAGGTATTATGATGCCAACCTGACCAGACACGATCAGATACGTTCTATCATCAAGGAAATATGTATCATTTAGAGAATACAAATCATACATGATCATACAAGATCGCGTACAGAAGTCCGTTCGAAAACACTCGTCGGTCGATTTCACTCGATTTATTCGAGAATGGAAACTTCTTAAGAGCGGTTGCTTTTCCTCTAACACCACACATGTATTTAACCCGCCACCCAAAGACATGCACATATATGAACAAAAGAAAAAATCAACATTCAAGTGTCGAATGATTTCTACGTAGATATATCAGCCCATAAAACAAAACATAGAACTAATGGAACATAAAAACATAATCCAAATTCCAAAGGAAAACATGATAGTCTAATGGCCAATCCAGATACATTACTCGAGCAAACACAAGCAACTGTGATTAACCCTTTCGCGGCCATGTGAAGCACTAGTGACTCCTACCATAGCGTACAGTGGTTAGGCAGTCATAAAAGCAAAATATTCTCAGAAAATTTCGTCATCAGGCAGATTTTGTGGAGTTATCTGTGCTGATCATTTTGGTACAAAAATTTTAAATTTGGCTAACAAATGACGGTGTTCGGATCAAACTACTGAAAAATCTCTAGTAGATGTGTCCTTGAAGCTATTACATTTTACAGTATGTTTACCCTAGCACTGTCCTTTATTTGCCAAATTAAAATTTTTTTCCATCAAATTGATCAGCAAAGATTGCTTCACAAAATTCGATCAGCGAAACATATTTAGTGAGGATCTTTAATTTTTATGGGTGAGCACCCGTGGAGGTACTCAATTTTGCAGCGGAAATGTTGAAACTATTCTTGATTCTGTAGTCCGCTATCATCCTGTGAATTATCAGTGGTACTCCTAAATCACGTTTTCGAATGGCTTTCATTTCATACAAAACTCACTCTTATGTTTCTTTGCGTGCGAGCTGTAATCTCTCGAAAAACATTTTCCACAACCCTGCAGGATCAAATCGCCGCAAAAGGGTTAAAGGAAAGAGGCTGAGCTTAATTGACACAATAAATCGGGCCTAGAAGTGACCTGGACCTCCTACAGGGCAGTTAACTACGGCTAAAAAAGGTTCCAACTTCCTCGATAAGCTTTTTCTAATTAGGTCACTAGTGATTTTATAATTAGCTGAGCATAACTGAGAGTGCTATAGGGACTTCTTTAGGCTACAGTCATCACGCAATAGGAATGAATATATAGTGACAAACATCCCAATACATAGCTATACACAGACATTTATAGGCAAAAGAAGTACAGAGAGACCGGTATAGGAATGGAGGCATAAGAATAGATGATATCATCTCTCCAAAAGGATAAAAGTAGGGAGATATACTCGATTTGTTATAAGTAAAGTGACATACCAATTCGGGTATAGGTAAGGAGATAAACTCATTAGAGTATAAGTGTAGTGATATACCCATTGAGGTATAGGTATATTGATATACCCAATAGGGCATAGGTACAGTGACATATCCATTAGGGTATGAATAGGGTGATTCACTCATTAGGGTATAGGTAGGGTGATATACCCATTGAGATATAGGTGTAGTGATATACCCATTGGAGTCTAGGTATAGTGATATATCCATTGAG